CAGAAGATGGGGGCGGGGGGCAGCCCGACACCAGAGGTGCCGGACAGAACAACTGCCCTTCCCAAGCGTGCGGGGAGGCAAGGTGGCCCAGGTTTGGGCCAAGCCCAGGCATGACAGCAGGGGAGCTAGTCACTGTTCCCTCTAAGCTGAGTTAGTGTGAGCTAGCTCACAGTTTTTTAGCCTCCAGCTCACACATTTTTGTCTTAGCTCAGGAAAGATGGCTCCAGAGCAAACTAATTTTATGCAGCAGCCAAACTACCTGCTCACAACTTTAATGCCAGTAGCTCACAAAGTAGAATTTCTGCTCACAGGACTCCACAGCTTAGAGGGAACATTGGAGCTGGTAGCCTGCAGAAGAGACGACACAGGGACTTGCTGAAAAGCCCCAGCTGAGGCCTCCTGGCAGGGTAGCTGGCCCGGCCACAGCAGAAGGGGAAAGGGGGGTGGCAGCACAAGGGCAGCTAGAAGCTGCTGCCTCAAGCGTCTTCACAGTCATATGGGGGGGGGCAGGGCCGGACCCCACAGAGGGGACCCAGGAGGGAGAGGTATAAAGAAGAGACGATGGAGCCAGCCGAGGAGGACAGGCTTGGACCCGGCAGAGAGAGGCATCTGAGTGCTGGCCCATAAAGCTAATGGAGGTCAGGTGATGTAACCCCCTCCCAGCTCGGAGCTGAGGCTACTCCTGCCCTCCCTACCACCCTCCTTCTTCGAACCAGCAGGATCACCCCCAAACAGGGATAACCCCAGCATCGCCCAGGAGCATGGTGGCATCGGACCAGAGGTTGACGGGTGTCCTGACAACCCGTGAAACACTATACTTCTGTTGATACAGGCCAAAGTGTTATTTGCCTTTTTAGCTACGACATCACACTGCTGACTCATGTTCAGTGTATGGTCTACCAAGACCCCTAGATCCTTGTCTCACATTCTGCTGCCAAGACAAGCCTCCCCCATCCTATAATTAAGCATTTGATTTTTCCTACCTAAATTTCCTACCTAAATTTATCCCCATTGAAATTCATTTTATTTGTTTTAGCCCAGTTTTCCGGCTTGTCAAGATCATCCTGTAATCCTAACTCGGTCTTCTACCGTGTTTGTTACCCCTCCCAGTTTAGTATCATCTGCAAATTTAATAAGCATTCCCTCCCTTCCTTCATCCAAACAAAGATGTTGAACAAAGCAGATGCCAGAACAGATCCTAGAGGTACTCCACTTATCACTCCTTTCCAAGAGGATGGGAAACCATTCGCAAGCACTCTTTGGGTGCGATCTGTCAACTAAGTTACTGATCCACCTGACAGTCATAGGATTCAAACCACATTTTAGCAACTTGTCAACGAGAATATTATGTGGAACCTTATCAGAAGCCTTACTGAAATCAAGATAAACTATGTCTACAGCATTCCCCTGATCCAGTAAGGCAGTAACGTTTTTGGAAAAAAAAAATAAGGTTAGTCTGACATGACTTGTTCCTGAGAAACCCATGCTGGTTCTTAGTAATCACAACTGTCCGTTCTAAATGCTGAAGGACCGACCGTTTGATTATTTGTTCTAAAGCTTTCCCAGGTATAGACGTCAAGCTGACAGGTCGGTAGTTACCTGGATCCTCCTTTTCCCCCTTCTTGAAGATGGGGACAACATTTGCCCACCTCTAGTCTTCTGACACCTCACCTGTTCTCTGAGAATTCTCAAAAAGAATGGAAAGTGGCTCAGAAATTACATCCATGAGTTCTTTTAGTACCCTTGGATGCAGTTCATCTGGTCCCAAGGACTTATTTTCATTTAAAGAAACAAGATGTTTATGTACTACCCCTATGCTGATCCTAGGCTGCAACTCCCTTCCCTCATCATGTGTTCTGTTTTTGCCATGTTGAGCACCATTTACCTCACAAGAGAAGACTGAGGAAAAGTAGGAATTGAGCAGTTCAACCCTATCTTCATCATCTGTTACATATTCACTTTCCTGTCCCCACAATGAACCTGCCATGTTCTTGCTCTTTTTCTTACTTTGAAAATAAGAAGAAGAGAAGAAGAGATTGGATTTATACCCTGCGTTTCACTACCCGAAGGTGTCTCAGAGCGGCTTACAAACTCCTTTCCTTTCCCCTCCCCACAACAGACACCCTGTGAGGTGGGCGGGGCTGAGAGTGACACAAACTGCTCTTTTTCAAGGACAGCTCTTATCAGAACTACGGCTTGCCCAAGGTCATCCAGCCAGGTGCAAGTGGAGGCATGGGGAATCAAACCCGGTTCTCCCAGATTAGAGTCCGCGCACTTAACCACTACACCAAAATAAGAAAACAATCATCTTTTTGTTGTTTTGAGCATCTCTCACTAGCCTAAGCTCATACTAAACTTTAGCTTTCCTAACTTTCTTCCTACAAGCACTGGTTATTTGTTTATATTCGTCCTTGGTTACAAGGCCCTCCTTCCATTTCCTAAATGAGACTTTTTTATTTTTCAAGTCCTTAGAAAGCTGTTTATGGAGCCACCTTGACTTCTTTAGGGTCCTTCCCATTTTTATTTTTCATAGGAATCGCTTCTGATTGTGCCTTCAATATTTCAGTTTTAAGAAACTCCCATCCCTCTTGAACTCCCTTCTCCTTAAATATTTCTGACCATGGGATTCTACCCAGCATAACTTCAAGTTTGTCACAATTTGCTTTCCTGAAGTCCAACCTATATGTCTGGCTACGTACAGCTTTTCCCTTCCCCAAGACTATAAATTCAAAAATTACATGGTCACTACCAGTGTTCCCTCTAAACTGAGTTAATGTGAGCTAGCTCACAGTTTTTTAGCCTCCGGCTCACACATTTTTGCCTTCGCTCAGGAAGGAGGGCTCCAGAGCAAACTAATTGATGCAGTAGCCAAACTGTTTGCTCACAACTTTAATGCCGGTAGCTCACAAAGTAGAATTTCTGCTCACAAGACTCCACAGCTTAGAGGGAACATTGGTCACTACTATCCAGGGTGCACCTTGTCAACCATCTATATATGTACTGTTAGTATGTATGTATATGGATGTATATGTTATGATTGTTTGTGTATGTTATGTGGAAAATGTAATAAAACCCTGCCCCTTTTGGGGGCAGTTAAAAAAAAAAAAGGTTGGTTCCTTGCTGTGCGAAATATTAACCTTAGATGGGGTTTCAATAAGCATGAAAAATTCTCTGATTCCAGAGGAGCCAGCTATATTGTTGTAGCCAAAATTAAACAGGAATCTTTGGATATCTTAGGGTTTTTTTATCCTAATATAAGCTTTTGGGGACTCGGGCCCACTTTATCAGATCCTTGTGGTGGGTCCTCACTAGGTTCGTCCAAATGCAACTGTGTTTATCCCATTTTTAACAGGAAAGTGCAAAGCTACTAAGGAGCCAGCCCGCTCAAACAGTGGGACCCCGAGGCCTTTTGTATGTCCAGCAGAGAGAGTTTGCAGCAACCACTCCTAAAGACGGTATGTGGGCATCCAACAGGGCCTTATGTGGAAGTCCAAAATGAACAGCCAAGATCTTAATGTTGCTTCTGTGCTTTTCTTCAGGATCTGTTTCTGTTCTAGGATCCGACGACGCAACTACCTGCCACTTGGTAGTGCTCAGACACACAGGTATGGCACCTGGAGGAATAGTGTGAAGAGCCCCTTCAGTACGGTAGTAACTGAGGCCGTAGTTCTGATAAGAGCTGTTTGTGAAAAAAAGAGCCATTTCTGTCAGAGCTCTCTCAGCCCCACCTACCTCACTGGGTGTCTGTTGTGGGGAGGGGAAGGGAAAGGAGTTTGTAAGCCGCTCTGAGACTCCCTTGGGTAGTGAAGGGCGAGGTATAAATCCAATCTCTTCTCTTCTTCTTCTACTAAAAAAGGGGAGAAATTCCAATATCCATGGCAAGCACTGTGACAGGGCTCATGATTTGGAATAGTGGTGGGGAGGAAAACCCATTCCGGCTGAACCAAAGGTTGCCAAGTATTACCTAAATTCTAAACAGTCACACCTTTCTAAGCCTATTGGGGTGCTCTGTGTATTGTCAGTCTCAGGAATGTTTCCTGAGTGTGATGATTCTGATCTGTTTTGGTGAAGACCTGCACAGAATGCATTCACAATAGCTTAACTGGAGTCAGAGAATGTGGTCGTGTTGAATGCTTCCATGTTAGCAAAGGTTTGGAGTTGCAAACCATTTTTGTTCTTGTTTTTTCAGGGAGTGGGGCCACCTGTCTGACTCACTGTGATGGGTCAGATACAGACAAAGAAGTCGTATCGATTACCAATGCAGTCAGAGTGCTCTCTCCTAGTACAGAATATGGAAGGTCAGTTTTTTAAAATTTTAAATGTGTATTTTTATTCAGAGCTATCGAGTGGTAATCCATAAAAAAGCTAATTAAGTAGTTCTTTCCAGTAAAGGTAAAGGTTCCCTTGCTCGAAAGCCAGTCGAGTCCGACTCTAGAGACGGGAGCTCACTCCGTCATGTGGCACCCGGGTCTCGAACTGCTGAACTACTGACCTTCCACAGCCTGAAGTTCAGCATCTTAACCACTTGAGCCACCGCAGCTCCTTTCTTTTCAGTAGTGAAGTGAAATTAATTTGGGTATTTCCAAAATTTTAAGCTACGGTAGTCTTGCCATTTAATAAACACTAGTATATTATTGGAAAAGACAGCTGTTGCAGTAGGGCTTTGGACTCAAACTGGCCTCAAGAAATAACTTGAGTGTGCCTTGTGATTAAAATTAAACCCCCATGGGTTGGATCCTGCAAATCTGTTCTGCAAACAGTGGCGCCTTTCTCTGATGCAAGAGGCTATTCCCTTGGCGGAAACATCCTTGCAATGGAGGAAACAGCAAAATGAGTATGCAGGAATCAGAGCCTATTGATTTAATTGACAAATCCTTTAGTTGGCTGATGTATGAATTAAACACAAGGATACAATAAAGTGTGGATTCAGATGTGGTCTATCGATGCTAGGGATTAGTTGTGGGACCTTTTGAATGCCAACGGGCTCTGCTACAGAGCTGTTATCCCTTTCCTTTAAGATGGAAGTATTCCTAATTTCTTCTTTTGGCTGGTTAGGTTGGAATTGCATCTAGTTGGTGGCTTCAGTGATGATCGACACTTATCCCAAAAACTAACCAATCAACTTCTTCGTAAGTCCATGCATTCCCTCCTGCTTCCTCTGTTAAGTTTTAGGGCTCTTGTTTGGGGTCTGAGTGTAGAACTGGAGAAATTTGGGGACCATGGGATTTAGAAATAAGATGTCAAAATATTTCACACCAAGAAAAGGGGAATTGTGTAACTATTAGTTTCCCCTACAATTTCTGCCTGGCATCCTGTAACTGGTGATGCCAGGGATTGATTTGGGGGACCTTGTGCATGAAAACTGTGTACTTGGCCATTGAACACAGCCCCTTCTCTTACCCTACAAGATAATAGGTAAAAGGTAAAGGTTCCCTTGCTCGAAAGCCAGTCGAATCCGACTCTAGGGTTGCGGTGCTCATCTCCGTTTCAAAGACGAAGAGCCAGCGCTGTCCGAAGACGTTTCCGTGGTCATGTGGCCGGCATGACTAAACACCAAGGCACACGGAACGCTGTTACCTTCCCACCGAAGTGGTACCTATTTATCTACTTGCAATTTCTTGCTTTCGAACTGCTAGGTTGGCAGGAGCTGGAACTAGAGACGGGAGCTCACTCCGTCATGCGGCAACTTGGGTCTAATGTGGCCGGCATGACTAAACACCAAGGCGCACGGAACGCTGTTCCCTTCCCACCGAAGTGGTACCTATTTATCTACTTGCAGTTTCTTGCTTTCGAACTGCTTGGTTGGCAGGAGCTGGAACTGAGACGGGAGCTCACTCCATCATGCAGCAACCCGGGTCTCGAAATGCTGAACTAGCGACCTTCCACAGCCTGCAGTTCAGCGTCTTAACCAGGGCTATTTTGGGGCAGGAACGCACAGGAAT